ATTTAAGTTAAATTAAATCAGTATTTAAGTATTTAAGTTAAATTAAATCAGTATTTAAGTTCTGAATAATTTAGTTTGCTGATGAACAGTTACATTGTACCTGTAGGTATATAGCAGCATGGAACGTCTTTCCATCCACGAAGAGAGAAAAACGCCACCACCCACCAAACGGAGTTTCAGTGAAGAAAAGGATGACAGACATGATAGCCTTGTGAGCTTGAAGAGTCAAGACCGCAGCTGGGTGATTGGATCCCCTGAAATGTGAGTTTGTGGGAATATATATTTTAACTGTTCTACTTATTTTGGGGGGAAAGGGAAGCTTTTTGGAGGGAGAAAAAAAAAACATGTATGAAATCAGAAATCAATATGCAATTTTAGTCCAATGTTTAATTTAGCTTTATGAAAAAAGGGAGATTGGGATGAAATTAATTCATAGAATTAGAATTTCTAATTTCTAAGTTACGGACTTATAGATAACATCTTGTTCAATATCCTGCTCAAGCAAGATTCACTAGACCATCTGCAAAAGACTCTGTCTTAAAAACCAGGAGGACCTAAATTCTAAATCCTTTGAGGCATAGAGTTCACAGGGCGACTTTGGACATACAACTCTCTCAATACAGACTACTTTATAGCTGTTAATAAAACTGGAAACTCCCCCTCATAAGCTGCTTTCGTGTAAAACAGGGCTCCCCAGCTGCTGGGCCATGTCCCACTATCAGGCCGTGACCTATTCAGAATGGGGCCAAGTGAGTGGCTGGCCAGAGCATGCATGTGCAGCTCAACTTGCACAAGTGGCGGCCAGTGGTCACTCAAGTGCATGAGTGGTGGACCAGCAGGCCGGTGGATTGGCAGGCCAGTGAACACTAGCATGCATACATGCCAGCCCGCCACTCACGCAAGTTGAGCTGTATGTATGCGTGCTGGCTCACCACTCACACGAGGGCTGGGTCTTTATGCCCCGGCTCTCCACTCATGCTGCCCAGTTTCCTTCTCCCCTCTCCCCAGCCCAACCACCAACCTGCAAATGTTGGGCACCACGGCTGTAAAAAATAGTCAAGATATAAATGTAATAAACAGCTAAATAAAAATAAAGTTTAGTCTGATTTTTTCCTTGTCCTTCCTTTCTTTCTTCATTTATTTGTTCAAATTAATTATCTTTGCTTGATTTTAGTATTACTATGTTTGTTTACCACCATTAATGGATTTATGTTAAAACCCTGTTGTGTGCAAACTGCGTGATGGCAATGTGTTTTGTTGTTTTATTTCAGACTGCGTAAACATATCTCAGTGTCTGAATCCTCTCATACAGAGAGTGACTCCAGCCCACCTCTAACTGTCCGTCGGCATTGTTCTGGGCTTCTCGAAATGCCTCGTTTTGCTGTTTCATCTGAGGAAGAAGGAAAAAAGAAACAGTTGGACGAGACTTCTTTGCCTTTGACACAACCTCGGGAATGTCTTCCTTATCTAATTTCAGAACAGTCTATAAAAAGAGAACTCCAACTGGGTGATAACGATGAACTAAAAACTCCTTCTTCAACTGTTAGTAGTATGAGCAGCTCAACGTTTACAGGTATATGGGATTGGCAGCAGTGTCTCTAGTTCTTGGCCTGTGATTGTAATTTAGCCTGTCAGGTTAGACCAGGCCTGCACAACCTGTTGAGGGGAAAGGATCACATTGATAAATTAGAAATCCTGGTGAGCTGCGAATACCAGAAGTGCTGTTCAGCTGTTCTACAGCTAGTGGAATGGCAGAAATGCTAAAGTGGCTCTAAATATATAGCTTTTTAAAGGAGACTGGTGGGCCATACAACACACATACCTTTGGAGGAATAGCAAATAGAAATTCCATATGGTTTTGACCTTTTTTTTAAAAAAAAAACTGTAGGTGGGAACACTACAGATGTCTCCAATCATTATATGCGCAACAATAGCAGTGAAAGTCCAGACTTTATGACTCCCAAGGCTACCAGTGATCTAGCTGTGCGGCGAGCTCGACACCGGCTACTTTCAGGTGATTCCGGGGAAAAGCGGACCTCCCCACGGCCTGTCAATAAAGTGATCAAGTCAGCATCAGCTACTGCCCTCTCCCTCTTGATCCCCTCAGGTAACCTACTTATTTCATTTTTAAAAAATCAAAACAAAATCGACTACAACTAAGTGTGACAATAACCACTATCTTACATCTTTTTCTGGGTTTGCCAAGAACCACATTATTCTACCTTTAATATAATAGTTTTGCCATGGATAAGCTTGTGCTGTAATAAGAAGTGGAATATCACGGTGGTCGTTTTATTATAGCTATGATTAGTACATTATTACTTTTAAATCTAACTTGTTTTGATAAATCATTTCATAAATGATTTATCAAATAATTTGTGAAATCATAAATCAGTTCAAACGTATTTGATAAATCATTTCCAAGGATCGTGAAGTTCATGTTAGCCACAGGTAGTACTGTGTTGACATTGCCAACAGGAGAAACATGGATGTATCTTCTTGCTGAGTGCCAGTAAAATTGCCAGTATCAGCTCTGCTCTAACCCCTAAGGCAGTGGTTCTCAACCTGTGGGTCAGGATCCCTTTGGGGGTCGAACGACCCTTTCACAGGGGTGGCTTAAGACCATCAGAAAATATATTTTTTTGAAAAAATGTGGAAAACATAAAATAATTTTATGGTTCAGGGTCACCACAACAGGAGGAACTGCATGAAAGCATTTAATTAGGAAGGTTGAGACCCACTGCCCTAAGGAAAAATGATACCATCTAAGAAAGCTTATTATGAACTCCAAAAACCTGAATTTTTTAAAATAATAATAATAATGAAAATCCAGAATTACCTTCCCAAAAGAAGAACCTTAATATATGCTATAGCACTTAATTCTTTGCTTTTAAGAGTTAGGAAAATGTGTTTTCAATCTGTAATTACTGTAGGTTTAATTTTGTTTCCTATAGTTTCTTTTGAATACATGTTTGTGGTTCATGGCAGTCTAAACCTGGTGCATTTTAATGTATAGTTTCTTTAAAAAATGAATAAAAAACCATAGTTTAAAATATTTCATTTTGAGCACATATTTACAAGTGAATTGCACCAGGTATAATTAAATACCAAGTTGCCATTTTCCTGATAGTAATCTTATAGCATCTTTTTCCACAATGGGGAAGAAAAATAAAATGTAGCTTTCAGGGTTCTGCTATCAGAAAGCTTATTTCCCCCTTAATTCATTATTCAAGTTTTATTTTCTTTTGAAAACTGTTTTCTAATTTGGAAGCATTTTCTTTGTTCATGTAGAACACCATACTTGTTCGCCATTGGCTAGTCCAATGTCACCTCATTCTCTCTCCTCCAACCCATCTTCAAGAGACTCATCTCCAAGCCGAGACTATTCTCCTGCTGTTACGAATCCCAAACCACCAATCATCATTCATCGAGCTGGGAAGAATTATGGTTTTTCACTTCGTGCAATTAGAGTCTACATGGGGAACAGTAATATCTATTCAGTGCATCACATAGTCTGGGTATGCTTGGACTTATTGGATTTTTATATCATGATAATTTTTATATCATGATAATTTTTATGTCATGATAATAAATAATTAGCCTGCTTTGAAAATTGTGCGGTACCTTTAGCAATTAAAAAACTTGCTTATACCTAAACAATCTTTCCCAGAATTACCTCTGGAATGATGACTTCCTTTGTAAAAGAAAATATAAATATTTAGTTGATGTATGTGCATGGAGATATCAAAATTGAAACATATAGGTTAATTACATTTAATTCCTTTTGAGTTGTCTTGTCAGTGATTGCCTATTTCAGATCTCTCTAGCTTTGGTTTTTTTTACACATCTGTCTTAGTTAATTCATCAGAATTTTAAGTTTAGTTCAGCTGTGTTATAATTTATCTTACTTTGATTATTTTCTTTGTAATTATATTGTTATTTGCCTGGATTATTTTTCACAATGAATATTGTCTGTTATGGCATGTTCACAATTGAAGGGAAGCAAAATTATGTTCCAAGTTCCTTTACTCTGTGTTTATTTAAGTAGAAATTGATCTTTGAAGCTAATTAGCAGCAACATAATCATAATACAAAATAGAATAGTTCAGTAAATTGATTTTTGATCCTTATTTGTTATGACTTTACAAAAATTGCATTATGCGCACAGCTGCTAATAAACATAAGCCCCATGTAACAAATAGAACTGTATCTTTTTTGTCATTTTATATATAATTTTCTTAAGAATTTTAATTATAATAGTAAAATTAAATTTAAATTAAACAAAAGAAAATGAAAATAGGAATAGAAGAGAGAGAGAAAAAAGAATGTAATATAGAAAAAGTAATATATAAAGAAGTGACTTTCAATCTTTATCACAAGCATAAGCAAATTTAGAGATTCTTTACACGCTCTAAGATTACAGATATTTACTGTTTATCCCATATTCCATCTGTAAATAAATCCATAAACACCATCTTCTCAGTCCTGGTGTCAGCAGAAAGTTCATAAAGGGTTGCCAGATGTAATAACATATCTTGATCAAATAAACCAACTTTATATTCCTTCCTTTTACTTCTAATAGTCGTAATCTTCAGTACATTCAAATATTCCCACAGAATTTTATTTCTATTTGTCAATATCTTAGTTTGTCATTTGTATTTCCCTTTTAAATTTTAAAACTTCAGTCAGTTCATAATTCACTTTCAATACTATCCCTATCTCGCTAGATAAAAATGTACTACATCTGTCATTTCATTAATAACTTTTTTTGGGCAAAATCTTTACATAGAAGCAGACATCATTACCAACATTGCTGATATTGTGGCTACTAACTCCATTCTCCAAAAGTCACCTTCAGTATTTTCAATGTTATAATGTTTTGCAACATTTTATTAGCTTGTAAATCTTTCCCCCACCAAAAATTTTAGCCCCCTCTAATGTCCTATGTTTGAAATCATGAAATTGCTTCTTTTTCATATGTCTTGTAAAAACTCAAACAGAATCTATTTCCCATGGGAAAATATATCAATATTCCAACTTTATCTGGCTCCTTAGTACATTTATCATTTCTGAGATCAAAATATTTAGATTTTTGCTGCTTATTTCATGTTCTTCAAATTCTGAAGCTTATGATTTAAATTTTCTTTCATTCAGGATTAAAGGTAGACTCACATGGAATTTTCAAAGTAGCTTAGAGAAAGTTTCCAAAAGTTTAGAAATAATTAATGAGCAATTTCCGAAAAAATTTAGAAAGTGAGGTTTGCAAACCTCACTTTAGTGTCCTTTAAAAGCCTGTACTCTGGTTGCAAACAAGATGGATAATTCCATTGTCTCTTGATGTTCATACCTTCAAAAAAATGCTGTCCTCCTGTCTCCTTACAAGGAGTAGCTATCTAGAGCATATGTGGGTGATCTCCTACCTTCTCCTTATGCAGAAAGGTTTCAAAGAATCAATTCAGTCGCTGGTTCCTTTTATTTTTGCCATAGTTGTCAGCTTCATGTTTGCAGAGCTGTTTTCAGGTCATCATATTATACCTGGAAGTCAAATCTATGTTATTTGTCAATCCATTTTGATTCTGAAATTTCAGTACTACTAACATTTGAGAATACTTGAACACTGGTAGGACAGACTTCACTAAGAGCAGTATATGATTTGCAAGCGAAATGCTCTAAGTACAGTCAGAAGCGTAGTTGTTTATGCATGGGATTGGAATGTGCTTTAATATGAACAGATTATTAATGTATTGCTATTGTTATTTAACTTTGTTCTCTATCATTACAGCATGTAGAAGAAGGTGGCCCAGCAAGTGAGGCTGGTCTAAGAGAAGGAGACTTGATAACTCATGTGAATGGAGAGCCTGTACATGGATTGGTTCATACAGAAGTGGTAGAGTTGGTCCTGAAGGTAAAGATTGAAAATTGATGCTGCTGTACAATAGGAGTGATGTCCGTCAGCTCAAATATTTAGTTAAAAAAATGTTTCCAGTAACTTCAAACTATTTAAAATGATTTTTTCCATAGGAGGATCAGGTTGCACATAATACTTTTTAAAAATCTGATGTTGCAGTTGCAGACTACTGATGTTTTCATGACTTCCAGATAGATTCGTGCAGTGGTGTCAAACTCGATTTCACTGAGGGAGACATCAGGGTTGTGTTTGACCTGGGAGGGACATGGCCAAGGTAGGTGTGGCCAGCTCGACATGACTTTGGCGGCGGTGCCTGTGGCGGCCTGAGCACTCTGCCAGAGAAAACAGGCTCCCGAGCTCCAATTTAGGCTGCGTCGGCCTCCTGCAACTCTCTGCCATTGAAAACAGAGCTCAGGTGGGCTCTGTTTTCTCTGGCAGAGGGACTGTGGGCTGGTCTTTGTTGTTTCCAGGGCAGCCATGTGGGCCAGTTTTAAGCACCCAGTGGGCCGGATGCGGCCCACAGGGCTTGAGTTTGACACCCCTGGATTAGTATAATGCATTGTATATATTTGCCCTTTGAAGAAGATTTAGAAATTGCAATAAAAAACCAGCTGCTAGATTGCTAACCAAAATTTGATCCAAGGCTTGATGAGGAGACCACCTCTTAGCATTTCTACATATTTAATGATCCAAAGCCACGAAAAGTTTTTTCTTCCTAAAAAGTGCTGAGAACTAGTACAGCTCATCATACCTCATCATAATATAATTGTATATATGGCTGTATATACAGTGAGTTTTTAAAATGGATCTCTGAGCACCTCCACTTTCTTCTTCATAAGGATATTCTGCTTATGAAATGCTGCCACTCGTCCTTGGATCTATCAAGGAAGTGTTTTCAGTGCCAGGCAACAACTTAATTTTCCAAGACGTTTTAAATCTGGGTTTTTAGGTGGCAGCCCTAAACCAATTTTGTCTGTACTCTGCAGCTAATCAGGATCGGTGCTGATTGTTACTTTCATAGAAGACCAAACCACCAAGAAATGCCAGGCTTGGCTTCAGATTACTCTGAGAAAATGGCAATGGCTGGTTAATTTGTATCAAGAAAACTTAGAAAGATGGAGTTACTAGGAGACAAGCGTGACTTGAGGGCATTTTAATTCATTTAAAGTTCTTGGGTATTTTCAAGATGTTATTGATTGAATTTAATTATTTTCTTGTATGGGATTACAAGTGTTGTGAACTACACTTATGTTTTGTTTAAGTAGAAAGATAAAAGTATTGCTAAACAAGTAGGCTATTTAAGGGAGAGCCAATTTGGTATAGGAATTAAAGCATCAGACTAGAAATCGGGAGATTGTAAATTCTAGTCCCACCTTAGGCTCAAAGCCAACTGGGTGACCTTGGGTCAGTCACTTTCTCTTAGCCTTAGAAAGGAGGCAGTGGCAAACAACTTCTAAATCTTATGAAGAAAATTGCAGGGACTGGTCTAGGCAGACAATAGAAGTTAATAATGATCAGAGGCAAAAAGAAATCCGTATCTGGTATAAAATGTAATAGTACAACTAGTAGTATGTTAATTATAGTCAAGATATCCCATAGAAAACTAATCCCTATAAATATGGAAGACTTTATTACATGATATAACTGGGGGTGGGGGTGGAATGGAACTGAAACCATAAATATCCCCACCCACTCAATTAAATAATTGCAACTTTTGTTTATCACTGTCAAAATTTGGATTTTGCATAATTTTTCATAAGTAGATCTGCCCAGTATCATTTTAATTATAAGCTGGATTTGATTTTGATTAACCCCTGTATAAAACTTTCAAACCATTGGAACATAACTCACTGATTCTACCTATTCACTATTGCAATAAAATCCTTTGCAGTAGATATTTTTTGAAATCTATGTTCAGTATATATGATGGTAAGTGTATGCGTTCCAAATACCATGTAGAATCAAATCAGAATCGAAGGCAAAACTATGCTTAAAGTTCCAATTTAATAAAGCAGGCANAAGAAACAGGATAATGAAATAAGAGAAAGTGTGGCAGGCCAAAATTCTAAAAGGAATATAAATGCAGGCCTGACAGGCGGTCTCTCCTCAGAAGAAAAACGTTTCCTGAAAAGAGAATAACATAAAAGTTAACATATAAAATTTAACCACCTACTTCCCCCCCCAGGGGACCCTTTGGCTTATCGGGAAACTTCTCGTGGAATTGTTCTACTAACTTTTTCACTTTTAAGTTCCAACTTTTCACCCAAGTGGCTTCAAACAAAGGGTAACCCTTCAATTGCACTAAATACTGTAAGCGACCCCTATTCAGCCTGGAGTCTACAATCTTTTCCACCTCAGACAGTGTTTCCCCTCCTAGCACTACAGGAGGAGAGAAAGCTTGGGTGGATGCTCTTATGCTAGACACAATTACAGGCTTCAGCAAGCTACAATGAAATTCTGGGCCAATTTTCCCTAGACCTCTGGGTAGACTGAGTTGAACTGTAAATGGGTTAACTATCTTCACTATTGAGAATGGACCTAGAAATTTTGGACCAAATTCCTTGCTAGGCATTCTTAAACTTATGTATTTGGTAGACACAAAAACTTTGTCCCCCACATGGAAGGGGTACTGGAACCAGCGATGTTTATCAGCTTACTTCTTGTAGGCTCCTGCTGCATCTGCTAGAGCCTTCTTCATAGTCTCCCATCCTTTCTTTAGCATGTCCATCCATTCATTCAAAGACATGGAGGAGGGAGATTCTCTTGGCAGCTCAGGCATGGGAACAAATTTCATGCCACTGGTAATCTGGAAAGGAGTAAATCCAGCGCTGCTGTGAACCGCATTGTTGTACACCACTTCGGCGAAGGGTAGCAAGTCTGACCAGCTGTCTTGCTGATAGTCCACATAACATCGGATGTATTGTTCCACCACCGCATTGGCTCTCTCTGCTGCGCAGTTCATGCTGGTATGAACCTCTGAGCTCATTTCTCGTGTGGACCCAATGGATCTCAGGACCCCTCTCCAGAACTTCGCTGTGAACTGGACTTCACGGTCTGAAATGATCCTCTTGGGCTCTCCGTGCAGGCGATAAATGTGTTTCACAAACATTTTTGCTAATTTCTTTGCGGATGGCAACCCTGAGCAAGCGATGAAGTGCGCCTGCTTGGAAACCAAATCAATAACTGTTCAGATTACTCTGTTACCACTGCTGTCTGGGAGTTCCACAATGAAGTCCATTGCGACCTCTTCCCATGGTCAGTTAGGGCTGGCCACTTGTTGTAGCAGTCCAGGGGACTTCTCTGGCTGTGATTTTATCATTGCGCAAGTAGCACAACTTTTTACGTAATCTTCCACCTCTGATTCCATCTTTGGCCACCAAAATTGATGCCTGGCAAGGTGGAGCATTTTTAGGAATCCAAAGTGGCCTCCTAGTTCCACCTCATGGCTTCGCTGTAGAACTTCTAGCCTCAACCCCGCGGGGTTGGACCCCTTCCAGGCTAATCCATTTTCCATCGTTAGGATTTCCTGGTTGTTGTTGAGCCACTGGTCTGTTGGGAGCGCCAATTTCATAGCTGTCATCAGCTTATCCTGGCTTCCATTACTGTCCTGCTGCGGTTTTCTCAACAAAACATCCCCCAACAAGTTTTTGGGTACTTGTTGGACAGTTGAGGTTTTTGTCTCTGCTGCAGGTTCTGGGCTCTTGGATTCAATCATCCCTT